TCGATCTCTGCCCCCCAACCAACACCGACTGCGACCTGTCCAAGAGGTAGGAGGAGAACCACTGCAAAACACTGCCTCCTACCCCTAGCTCCCGCAGTCGTCGCAGAAGGATACCATGGTCGATGGTATCGAAATCCGCCGAGAGGTCAAGGAGAACCAGGATGGACGCATGGCCTCCATCTCTGGCCCTCCAGAGATCATCGGTCAATGCGACCAAAGCGGTTTCTGTGCTGTAACCGGGTCTGAAGACGGACTGGAAGGGGTCAAGGTAGCTAGCTTCCTCCAAGGCCCGTTGAAGCTGGAAGGCCACCACCTTCTCAACAACCTTCCCAACAAAGGGAAGGTTGGAGACAGGATGGTAGTTATTTAAAATGGCTGGATCCAAGGATGGTTTCTTCAGGAGGGGTCTCACCACCACCGTTTTAAGTGCTACAATGAGTAGGATGTTAAATGCAAACAAAAATTATCTGAAGAGTCAGGAAGCTCTTTATCTTAGATTTGTGGGCTCTAAATTAGTCCTGGCAATGGGAAGGGTGACAGAAATGAGGAAAGAGAACTAATTTGGGAAGAGGCAATATTCCAACTTTGGATCTGGCAAGAAGGAGAAGGCAGAGATGGAAAAAGGAGCAGAGACAGAGAGAAAGAAGAGAATATAAGAGTGTTTGGAAATAGCAGGGAACCTCCTCCCTTCCCCAGCTTAATAAGTATTGAGGAACAAGAGGGGAAGAAGGGCAGACAAGAGACTCTGTGCAAAAAATACTACAAGTATTGTCAGCTAAATCAATACAGCTTCAAGAGCTGGAAGTTCATCTGTGAGAAGTTGAGAAGCAATTTTAAGATTTAACTCAAGAAAATAAAGCTGCAGAGACAAGAAACAAAAAGAAAACTAGAGTGAAGACTATCAACTAGGAAGCCACTACAGGAGTGATGGCAGAGAACATTAAAGTGAGCCCATTTTTAAAGGTACAGAAAGATAGCTAATGTATTCTCAGATAGTTAACTTAATTACATAATATATAGTTCCTCTTATATTAATAGGCATATTGCTTATGTTGTTGCTTTCTAATTATTGCATATAAATAAAAAATGTTTTTTAAAACCCTTTGTATTTAAATGGGGGATATTCTTTTCCCTATTGGATAGTCCAAGAGAGTGGGGGAGACATATCTTAGGACTTCTTCTGTTAGCAGAAGTGTGCAAGATAAAATATATTCTACAGGAACTGGAAAATCTCTGGGAAAGACTCATTTAGATGTAGCATTAATATTATAGTGGGTTAAAAAGTGTCATACCTCTTTAAATCACAAACTGATAATGATTCTGAACATAAAAGTACTATCCGCTTACTGAGCAAGCCTTGTTCTTGTGACTGAATGTATGTTGGTTTGAAGAGAGAATGAAGTCACACATAAAAGTTGTAGCTCCATCTATGCTGACTCATAAATAGAGCCAACACAACTTTATTTTAATCTAAAACACTAGTGCATTGTTTTTAAAATGCAGAGTAATGTATACCTTCTTATTTAACAACCACAATCAATTCCTTAAATCAGAAACAATAGTTGCTAAGTGAAAGAGAGGGGGAGAGAGAGGGAGAGAGAGGGAGGGAGGGATGGATCACCAGTTGTTGCCACCTCAGTTAGATAAAATTCTTTCTCTTGCAGCGATATGTAGTGTTACTCTCATTCCAGTGTGCATTGTTGAAGGCAAATTAAATTGGGCTGTAAGTGTGTGCATTGGTTGGAAAATGGTTTTTAAATTATCATTTTATTTGCAAACATTTGCTAAATGAGGTAACCATTAAACTCCATGAGGCTGGTAAACACTGACTCAAAAGTATATACTCTGTGTGTATGCGTGTGTGTATATGTATATGTATGTATGTACGTATGTATGTGTGTGTGTGTATGTATATATACATATACATATATATATATATACACACACATACATACATACACACACAGACACAGACACACAAAATCAGCACTTTAACAGAGACTTAGTAATTTTCACTGAGCAATGAACATACACCACAAGCTTCATGAGTGGTGTACTCAGTTTGATGTAAAATTGAGTGAACGATCCCAATATAGTTACTCAATATGGATAAGAAATCTGATCATATGAATTCATAATTACAACCAATAATGGTAGAAAATAATGTAGGTCAGAAATTAGACCATGCTATTTAAAACTGAAACATATAATTTAACAATAATGAAATACTTTACCTTTCTTTTCACAAACTTGTCCCAATAGTTATTAGGAAAAGACCTATGATTTGAAAGAAATTATGTTTAAATATAAGTTATCATTCACTTCAATAAACAGTTTTTCTGAATTCCAAATTTACAGAGATCTTTCTTGGAGGTTCCAAGTTTTCCTCACTTGTAAAAGAACTTATGGAAGTTACAATTTCTCATTGGAAAATAATGCTCAGATAATCATTTAACAAATACAACTAATTCTATCCTCCCTAAAGTTAAAGTTGAAAATTAAACTGATGCTAGTTATTTCCTTTATATTTTTTAAAATATTTTATTTCTTAAATTGCAACTAAATGTCACTTTTCTCAAACATGGTCCAGTTATATGGGCTGATTGACTTATTGCATTACTATCAAAATCATCAAAAAATTTAATAAACTTATGAATTAATTTCAAATCTGAAATCTGATACCACATGAAGTCCTCATTTTTTATAATTCTGGATAAATATTTTCTACATAATGGCCATAATGAAATCGTACATAGACAGCATTCAGTATTACAGGAAGCTTAATTTGCTATCTGGATGCAGAATTGTACTGGTAAACATTTGCCTGGTAAATATTACATTAAGCCATTAAGCTATGTGTAAAGGTAGACAATTTATTTTAAATCTATAACAATTGCACATATATTTATTCATAAATTGGCTCTTTTATATCCAGATCAATGGGGAGACATAAAAAGCTTTGCAGGGAAATTTAGGAAAAAATATATATTTAAGATTATATAAATTTCAGGGCAACTAATAAAATATACATTTGTTAATTATATAAAAGTGTGCATTCTCAGAATATAAAGATAATGCATTAGAGGACTAATTTTGCAATTTTCTGAGCCAAGGCTTGAACAAAGTTATTAAAAGNTGTTTCTTCCACAAGAGAAAAGAACCAGTCTTCCCCATTTTAAGAAATTTGACTTAGAATGTATTCCTTCCATTTTATATTTCTATTCAATGCCTTTTTTTGGGGGGGGGGGATCTGCTTCAAAAGAGATTGAGTAAAGGACTCCAAAAATCTTTTCCCACCAAGAACGAAGGAAATAACTCTAGAATTCATTCTAGAATTTGCCTTTAGTCTTTCACCTGAGATTATTATGTTTCAAAGATTGAAGAACATAAGCAATTATATTAGGTACAAGAAGTTTACATATTTCACCATACATTTCACACTGTGAGAAAAAAATAGATGTAGATTATCAGTTAGGAAAGGGTGATTTTGGTAGTTATAAAAAGCATTTAAACTGATAAAAATAATGGAAACATACCTTGTATGATAGCTAGTAGAATAACAATTACAAAAAAGAAAAATGTAATATCAAAGATGATTCGATATATTTCATATTCATCGCCTGCAGGATCTTCAATTTCATCACCAATTCCACCACCAGCACGTACTCCCACATACATGTGAAACATATAGCACTATAAGCAATATGAAAAAATTATCATAGTTTAAAAAGTACATTTTGCATAACCTTTTATTTTTGTAAATCTTTATTATATTTACATAATATTTATAGTTTATTTGAACGGAGGGAACTCAATTCTTGCCATAGTTCAGCTAGTCTTTTAATTTTTTATCATCAAACCTAGAGGTACTTGAGTGCTTGCAAATAGAGGAGTGTGTTAAACAAAATCCTTAAACAAAAGAATCAATATTTCAGAGTTTTAAAAAATAACTGCCAAACCACACTTACATTTGACTTACTGCTTGAAGTAGTAAATCCCTAATCAACTTGTAACTACCAACTCAGACTAACAATCAAACAGTAAACAACAGCCTAATTAAGGAACCACCAGGAATACTCCTGCCAACACTGATAGGCAAGCCATCTGAATTTAAACAGAGAGCAAACCCCGTTCTCTTATAGCATTAATGATGTTATCTAGTTGGATAATTAAATGTCTTCAAAAAAATAATCAAACTTAGAGAGCATTGAGGTCCCCACACTATTTTAATTAGCATAATAGTAGTATATTCATTTAGAAGAATGAATGTATGTTATCTTGAACATTATACATTCAAAGCACTATACAATTATCAAAAATGAATACTAACCATCTAAATGATTCTTATTCTAATACTTTACCCAATTCAATAAGGTCAATGGGCTAGAGTCCTGCATTCATATGAAAAACATCAATGACAGAAGCAGCACTTAAAATTGAGCAAACTTCTGTTATTACATGATGCTTTCATCAATTTACAGAATGTAACCACAGTTTGAGAGACAGGTTGAGATAGTAGTTAAAAGCACCAGGCTAGAAACCAGGAAATTTGGAGTCCATTCCTGCCGCAGGCATAGAAGGTAGCAGTTACTGTGGTTGACTCTCAGTACAATATGACATTATACCTGTTCTTGCAATGAAGCATTTGTGAAAATCTATAAAGAGGATTTGGAAAGATTGCATGGGTTGCTGATGTATCCCTTTGTGTTTTGTAAACAGAAACTGTCTCCACTCTTAAAAATTTACCCATTTAGAATCATATTAACAAATTAGAAGAAAAACAAAAGTCAAGTTTACCGTTAGCATGTCATCACATTTCATATCTGGCATATCTCCATCTTCACTCTTATCGTAGAATTTTCGGAAGAAATTGAAAGCAACTACTGTGTATAGATAAACTACCACTGCTAGTAATCCCACAGTTAGTACAAGCTAAAAGGAAGAAGTAATAAATTAATGAATATTTTGGAGTTCCTTGATTGTAAACTTATTTTCAAAAAACCATAAGAAAATCAATGTTCATTTCATTTCTATTTTATATTAAACAATTTACAAATTATATAAAGAAAAGCAAATACTCTTCTGCTACATGGGAGTCATTCCAAATGAATTTGGGTGGGGCTTACTGCAGTCTTTAAATGATCAAAATATAGAGACAATTGTATTACAATTGAAATCATGACAATCTTGATTGAAAAGAAATAAAAGTAGATCTGCATATTTTATTATTATATCAAATGCATTGGGAACCTTATGGAAATGAATCAAAAGTAGAATTCAGAGTTTATTACATTTCCTCCAAATTTTTAAATAAACAAATGTTCTCTGATTTCTTTCATGGTTGGCATAGTTATATAACTGTTCCTCTTCGTAAACCTTATTTTAAAGGGTGGCATGTAACTTTTCACAAAGTTAATGGCAGAATAAAGAGCTATTACCTGTTTCCCATTGTGGGTCACTGATGATAGAATCGTTCGTAATGTTTTAAATCCCATTGCTATGTCAAGGAGGTGTGCAGCAAAGAAAAAATTGTTGTAATGACCAAGGACTGACATGGTCATATACCAGGCCAGGTACAGAAAAGACTTTAGAAGAAAAGGAACAAAACAGATTTAAGAAAAGAACACACAGTCAGATAAAAACTTCTTTGTACTGTAACTGTAATTGTAACTTCCAAAGACTTTTTAATCAAACATATATTTTAATTTAAAAGAATAAAACAGGTAATACATTATGTAAAACACATGAAGTCTTCATAACTTTATTATCTTAATTCCATGCTTCAGTTAAATCTCAAGAGAAAACAACATAAGGGAAATTTTCCCATGAGCGTTACTATTATTGTTAAGACCCAGTAATGTCCTGAAGGAATTTTGTCTCCTCCTGGAAATATTTAGAGAATCCATCAATCCAATTTATTTACCCATAAATTTGGTGAAGAGTTTTGAAAAGTGATTTAAACTAGTTCTATTTTAATATTCTAATTAATATTAACTTGATATTACATACTTACATTATCAGTGAAAACAACACCTAGTTTCCACATTTGATACTTTACATCAATAGAATTCAGCCTGAAAGAGCACATATAAAAGAAGAAATAAGGTAAATTTAAAGATGGAAAAGATGAGTCATTGATCATCAATCACTAGGTACTTTGCTGAATGTAGGCTAAGTGGGAAGTTTTCAAAAAGTTCCAGAAACAGTAGCAAAATACTTCTATATTGTAGCCACAAAAACAATATATACTTGTATTCAAGGTTGCCTCAGGCTTTACTTTTTAAGTAAAAAAGTAAAATCATGTATAAGTTTAATCATGCATAAAATCTTGAAGCAAAGGAAGATCAGAAAAAAATTCAATCTGGGTAAAATTAAATAACTGATGTGGCAAGAGCCTAGAACCACTCATTGGTATTACACAAATGTATTGATTCTTGCCTTCTGGGTGATACTAGAAAGTACTAATTCATTTCAGATGGTTCCTTATGCTAAACAGAACACTTCCAGGTTTACTCTCTCCCTCCCTCTTTCACTAAAGCACTAAATCTAGATTATAGTATTTAAGGTATATGTCATAGTCTAGACTTACTTATGTGTCAGTGGATGCTCCAACACTGGAAGTTTTAAAGAAGAGATTGGACAACCATTTGTCTGAAATGGTATAGGGTTTCCTGCCTGAGCATGGTGGTTAAGACCTCCAAGATCCCTTCCAACTCTGTTATTCTGTTGCCAGGCATGGTACAACTGATTAATGGAACATGTTAGCTCCTTCAGTTCAAAAGAATATGATTCTAGCTGATGGATCTACTCTAAGGACTCATGCTGACAAGCTAACCAATGATAACAGCTGTTGTTTTGAGAACTGTGAGTTGCCAGTTCTCCTCAAAACAAAAATAGTGAGAGTAGAGTATTATTCCAGTTCTTGTCAGCATTATTAAAGTATAAAAGTGCAAGTCATAAATTCCTCTAGTAATTTGAAAATCATATATACTCTCTCTGTCTCTCACACACACAAACACACACACATAAATTTGCTAAGCAATGTTTCATTAATGAATTTTAAAATGTGTTAATAAACCCCTTTATTATGACATAATCCTTCACAGATGGAATTAAATATAAAAGGTATAAACACTAATAATTAATTGTCATAATGGACAATCCTTGCTTAAACATTCAATATGCAGTATGATAAGAAGCCTTTATTTGTATTTAGTTTATAGGAAATAGAGCTGAGCCTGCTAATTAATTCTAATTCATTTGTTTTAAAGTGTTCTCTCACCAACCCTAGTTTCTGAATGATAATATTTGTAATGTCAAATTTATGCCCATATATTACTTTACACAATGTTACACTGGGTTCATTGTTGTAATACTAATAAATAATGGCATATATCATATTGGAACATGAGCCACAGTGGCACAGTGCAATACTGCAGGCTATTGTTGCTGACTTGCCGGCTGCCTGCAATTTGGCAATTCAAATCTCACCAGGCTCAAGCTTGACTCAGCCTTCCATCCTTCTGGGGTGAGTAAAATGAGGAGCCAAATTGTTGGGGGCAATATGCTGACTCTGTAAACCACTTAGAGAGGGCTGTAAAGTTGTATATAAGTCTAAATGCTATTGTTATACAGAATAATAGCATTATTATTGACAGAATAGGTATTAGACTTGTGATGGAGGCATGGTGAGTTGTACATCTCTCTGTAGAAAAATGATGACAATTGTGGAAAAGACCAAGTAACTGGTGAGTGGACTGGTGGTTAGGAACCTCCTTGGAAAAGGAGAGGGGCACATGTGCTCTGCACAGCTGCTCGTAAGGAGACCTCAGAGCAGCAATCAACCATGGGATGGAACACTGAGAAATGAAGGTATCAACTATCAAACTCACAGTCACAGCAGAACCTTTTGAAGACACTAAATTCAGTAGGCTCACTTCTAATCCCTTTTGGAAACTATTTATCTAACTATCTTAAAGCTATCAGAGATCTTCAGAAAGGTAAGTGTGAACAGCTACCTGTAAATCTATCTTTGTTTCTGAGCAAAAGAAAAATTAACTGTAAGTTTAAGAACATAAAAAATATGAAATAAATGGCAAAAAGCTAAATAAGTTTTAGAACCAAAGTATTATTTTATTATGAATATAGTTATGAAGATATTATTTTTAAAAATCATTGTAAAAATCATTGTGGAAAAAATAGGAGGAAGGAGGAGCATATTATATATTTGCTTCCTTGAGTTATACCATTCTATATTTCACAAATATAGTTTATGAACTATACTAGTTTCACAAAAATAGTTTCCCATTACCATATATACTTTATGTTTCTGACATGTATGCACACTTACACTTTGGAATAATTCATGTTGATATGAGAAAGAAGGCTATAAGTCAGACATTAAATGCAAGAGAAATGTTGAAGGTTCAACAACAAATAAATGTTTGAGTAGTCTTTAAAGCAACATTTTAAATACTTACACAGCTGATAAAGAACTATCCTTTTTGGGTTTCTTTTTTTCTCGAGCATCACTGAAATCTAGAGCAGCCTTATCCATTCCCAGCAATTCACTGATTCTGTCTTTGCCATAAAACTCTCCATATTTATCCATAACCTGAAACAATATAGTAACAATTATTTTTCCTTCTGAAATGTTATTTATCTAAACTCAAATTTTTACAGAACCCTCATCATGCAGTGATTAAGGTGTAATATTTTTATATAAAATTCTATATCTTTAGATACCTCTGGAGCATCTACCTCATGGGGTAAGAGGTTCAAATTAGAAAGATATTTGACCTAACAAGTTATAGGTTCTATACTCCAGTGTTTGAAGAGAATTGTTAAACTGGATTGCAGGATCTTTGTATTTGTATTTTGTATTTTATTAGGATTTATAGGCCGCCCTTTTCCCTGAGGGGACTCAGGGCGGCTTACAATCATTAGGG